GGGACGGTAAAAAAACACATGAGCAAGAGAGATGGATGGGAGGAGGAGCAGCACGCGAGGAGGTGACAATGATTATATGGAGGATCGCCGTCCCGTCCCTCTCCTCCTCCCCGTCCGTCTCCTCCTCCTCCCCGTCCCTCTCCTCCTCTTTTTGTTCCTCCTCCTCCCCGTCCTCTCCTCCTGTTGATGATGGCCCATGAGTCATCCTGACGACCGCCTCCTCCTCCTCCTCCTCGTCCTCCTCCTCGTCTTCCTATCCTTATAGTCTGCCACCCGCCCCTCGGAGAGGACATCTCGCCTCCCCCCCTTTCAGCTTCGAGGGTGTCCGCATGGCACCGCGAATCGCTCAGTGCGACGTCGTCGTTCCAGGGCAGGATCTAGGCGCCACGCTTCCCCGAGGAGGGTGGCGGCCGCCGGGCGCGCCCCCCTCGCCCCCCCCGCGGGCACGCCTGGCGCTTCGGAGCGGGCGGGGGCCTGCCGGGCTCCTCCTGGCCGGAGCTCCCCGGGGTCAATGAGGGGGGGGCGGCCGAAGCCGCTGCGGCGGCTGCCGTGATGGGCTTGTTTTCCACCACCACCACCATAGTTAGAGGGGGAGGAGGTCCTCCTCGTCCTCCTTCTTCTCCTCCTCCTCGTCCTCCTCCTCCACCTCCTCCATCTCCTTCTCCTCCTCCTCCTCCTCCTCATCCTCCTCCTCCTCCTCCTCCTCCTCCTCCTCCTCCTTCCCCCCTCCAACTTATGGTGGTGGTGGTGGAAAACTGGTCCATCATGCCAGGGCTTCGGCCCGTCGTCGGGCGAGAGGGGGGCAACAGAGAAGGGCGAGTTGAGACCACGGCACTTGGCCTCCAGGGGGGCCTCTTTGCCATGGCTGGACGCAACTCGGCAGTTGGCGCTGCGTGGACCGATGTTGAGCCGCCGTTGTCTCAACTCGCGACCCCCCTCTCTGCTGACGTGGCGGGAGTGGGAGGGGGGACTTCCTCCGTCCCTTCTCCCTTCCGTTCCCCCCCGGGGAAAGGGGGGATGGTAATGACAGGGGGGGAGCGCGGGGGGAAGGAGGAGCAGTCGCGGAATGATGTAGAATCAAGCCGCATTGATGATCATGATCACGTTGACGATGAAGATTTCATTGCATTGTTGTTCGATAGACGGTGGGTTGCGAGTCTCCCCATATCTTGGTTTTGGACTCCGTCGCGTAGCAGGGGATTGGGCAGCTAACGAATTGATCAAACTCGATCTTGAAATATTCTCACGGGGAAGAACACATGCATGACCTTGGTTGTAACAAACAACGGACACATGCGACGCTTTCTGTGGTAATGGCCATGCAGAGAGAAATTCTGCAGAAAATGTCGCACCTCCAATCTTCCGTTTCAATGCATACGAAAGCAACCCATCACACAGTTATTTGAATTGGTCGCAACGCTGCTCGTTCCCACCAGGTGCCACTGCACGGTCAACTACAGAAACCGTCGCAAATTGGTTTCCCGAAAGGAGGAGGAAGAGGAGGAGGCGGAGGAGGATGGTAGAGGGCGGTGAGTGGGGAAGGGGTGAGGAGGGAGAGGGGCGGAGGGGGCGGAGGAGGGGAACGACACCTGGCGGAGAAACTCCAGGCAACCGCACGGCATGTTTGCACCGCGCCGGCGTGGTGGTGACCCCAGGGCGGGCGTTCAGCGCTGAGCGCTGCCAGTGTCCCAGAACTCGCCGTTGTAGAGCCATCCACGCCAGCGGAATACCGCGATCGCTCAGGGATGAACGATCTACGAGGCGTCAGAGAACAACGCACCAACGCAACGCAAGTGACCGCGCCAAGTCGTCTCGGCACGCAGCTGCCCGCGCCAAGGAGCCTCTCTCCCGCCCGGGCGAGTACGGCTGGTGTTTCGACGACTCCGCCTTGGGGGCGCTGAGGCGCCGGCGTCGTCGTCGGAGGTGGAGGACGGGGCACAAGGTTCGTCGTGAAACAAGCGGTTCCTGTGGGGAGCTGGTCCAGAGTTTTTCTTCGCACTTTTCGGGGGGCCCAGAGCACTCACGGGGCCCCAGGTCTGTCAAACAACGACTCCGTATGGAGAGCGAAGTCCAGGACCCGCTTGCCTCAGGAACCTTTTTCAGTCTGATATGATCCTCTTTCTATATCAATTCCCCGCCAGCTCGATCCTATTCTGGTCCGATGTTCCAGCGATCTCGTGCGGCACGATGCTTCTGCGGAGCTGTTGTGCATACTGTCGCAGTCGATTTGACTCGCCGAGTCCAAGGCGGTACGGCCCGGTTCGATACCTTTTCTGATCTCGTCCGGCGTCCCGATTCGATGCCGACCGACCGCCTTTGGAATAGCAGTTCAGAAAATAAGGTACCGGCACTGTTTACTTATTTCGTTCTCACCTTCTTGGGCCTCCTGGGAGGCCTTAGTCGCCATTGCTGGATTCGCCGCGAAATTCTGGTCAGAATTCACTTAGGGAAAGGTCGGGGGAGTAGTGTTATCGGTATGTGTTATTTCCCCGGCAGCAGCAGAGGGCGACCAGAAAGACGAGGAGGTTGGGCAGGGGGGGAGATGAGGAAAGGTTGTGGGGGAGGTGGAGAGGGGGATACGGGGAGAAGGAGGTCCAAGGTCAACCCAGGATGATTCAACGATGATCACAGAGAGGGTCTTCGAGCGGTCTTACTCCGTCCCTGCTCGCGTTCTTCCGTCTTGGGGTCGTCTCTCCGGCGGCCACGCTAGGAGGTCACGCTGGGAGGCCACGGTGGGAAGCCACGTTTGGGGGCCACGCTGGGAGGCCACGCTTGGAGGCCACGCTGGGAGGCCACGCTGGGACGCCACGCTGGGAGGCTACGCTGGGAGGCCACGCTTGGAGGCCACGCTTGCAGGCAAGGCTTGGAGGGCTCACCGAAGAGGGGCGGTGTGTCGTATTCGTAGTGGTTTCGGTTCAAATGCCGCTAGCAGTGAGCGCACTGTGGCTTCTAAGAACGCCGCCAAGCACCCTCTCTCTTATCCGCATCTGCAGGGGATTCGGTACAATACAATATTTCTTCGCAAAGTTCTTCCTCATGATTCCCTACATGCATTCCTCTTGACTGCAGGAAGCATCCCTCCTGCAAGACGAGCGCACTCTGGGCGCTCGGCGTTCCATGGTTGACGAGGACCCCGTTTTGAAAAAGAATTGCCTTGCACCTGCCTCGTTATAGAGAAGACGGAGAGGTAAAATCATGCAGTTCAGGGAATTGTCCACCGATATCTTTTTTTTGTGAAAGGAGCCGCCCACCATCCTTGCAGACATGCAAACATTCGCACTCCTGGTCGGAGGGAGTCTCAATAGAGAGCCCATGTTGAGAAGGCAACGCCACTATGCTGTGTAACGGTTGCTGAGTAGGCACCCTTGTTGTCGGTTGTCCTAAGCAGCAGACATTTCCATCCTTGTACGCGTCGTTTCGTTTTTCAATGCGTATGTACGCGGCGATATGGCTACAGCCACATTTGAACAACGATCCACCCGCATTATTTCCATCGCTCGGACACTTGCACGGCGAGTGGGCACGGCGTTGCGGCGAGAACAACATTTCGAAACAACCGGCGATCCATCATTGTAAATCGTGAGAGCAGTTCAGAGGAGCGTGTGCGACGCCAAGGCGCAGCCACATTTCGGAAGCGGTCTTTTCGAGACCAGACGAGGCGAACATTTAAAGCTTCAGGGTCAGACGAGGTGAGGAACGCCCGTGCGAATTGCCCACTCCACCGACACGTCTGGTGTTGTGGCGAGGGGAAGATCTTCATGAGGGCTTGTGCGGCGAGGAAAACTTCTTCATATGGGCCTGGCGGTGCGAAGGCGAGAAGTTTGGTCATTCAAGGGTGGTGGATAGAAACACTCGGAGCAGGGACAGCAGGCGGAGCAGGAGCACGTGGATGAGCATGAGGGCCGCCACGAGGAGCAGGAGGAGGAGGAGGGGGAGGGGAGTGCCCTATCGCCGCTACCCAGGTGTCTCGTCGCCCCCCCCACCTGTGTGCTGATAACTTGATAAGCACACGCGCACCAAGGAGGCCGCTTTTCTGGCAAATTCTGTTCAATAGAGGGGGATTGCATGGGAGCATGGGGGAGCGTGGCAAGAAGGTAACCTCGACTTCACGCAAGTCGGGATTCCCTTGCACGCCTTGACGGCTCAGTGATTGTGCCGTCCTCGTCTCCCCTAGCGCTCTTTCGCAGACAGGCGTTTTGTCTTCGTGTCGCAAGCTCGTGTCTGGGTCACAAGCTTTCTGCTCGCAGATTTAATTTTTCAAACTCACGCGTGTTTTGGAGCAGCTCGCATTGCGGAGGGGTGGGAAGGAAAACCATGCAACGGGGACGTCGGCGGGGGCGGACGACGGTGCTGGCGACGTCGACAACGGCGGCGTCGGCTGCCACGACCCTGCTGTCCGACGATGTGTTTTTGTTCGATATGTGGCTCTAGAGGTGCCCGTCCGTGGGGACAGTTTCCCGTTCCGGATCCACTTCTGAGTGTCCAGGTGCCCAGGAGCGAGCCCAACAGATGCCGAAATGGAGTAACAAAAGCCAGGGATGAGCAAAACCGGATCGTCGGAGATCCGGGGACGAGGACGAGAACGAGGACGACGACGACGACGACGACGACGACGGCGGCGGCGGCGGTGGTGACGACGAGGACGACGGCGGCGACGACGGCGGACGGTGACGACGGCGACGGCGACGAGGACGACGAGGACGACGGCGGCGACGACGACGACGACGCTGACGACCCTGACGACGTCGACGACGACGACGACGGCGACGACAACGGCGTCGACGAATTACGCTGACGACAACGGCGACCTCTTTGACGGCGACGACGGCGGCGACGACGACGGTGGCGGCGGCGACTGCCACAGGAACGATGACGACGACGCTGACTACGACGACGACGACAACGACGACGACGACTGTTATGACGACCGTGACGGGGCCATCATTGGCGACGCTGGCTGCGGCGGCGCCGAGGCACGGGCCGCCGCGGGCGCCGCGGAGCCGCCCGGATACGGCCAGCAGCTGCGGCGCCCCCAGCGGGCGCAGCGCGGCGGCGGCCTCGACGCGCGCGCCGTCGGCGGCGCGCTCGGCCCCCGCGGGCTCGTCGCGCGGGGTCTCGCCGCCGGGAGGCCTCCCTTCTCCGCTCTGCTCCCTCCTCCCTTCAGGGGCAACGGTAGGGGGGGGATAGGCACAGGGGGGGGGGCGCATCGACTCCCAATCGCCCATTGATCGCCGATGGGGGCCCGAAGGCCCCGCCCCGCCCAGGACGGTGCGGATTCACTATCGGAGTCCTATCGCCGATCTATCGACGATGTATCGCCGATTCCAGGTCGATGCATCCCCCCCTTTGCCCATCCCCCCCTATCGTTGCCCCTCACCTTCTCCCTCGTCCTCCTCACAGTGTGTTCACGGCTGGCTGCCTGTATGGGAGACCGCGGGCCGTTCCCACGACGTTGGGCGAGCGAGCGTCCTTTGCACGCCTGGCTCCGGCGACGCCGACGTCGGCGGGCGGCGATTGCCACGGCCTTGCTGTCCCGCGATGGGTCTTCTTCGAGCCGCGGCCCCGGAGGTCGAGGAAGACGAGTACGGAAGCTACAGAGAGGGATGCCGACAGCGTTCTCTCCAGGCGTCCCAGATGGGGCTGGTGCGGGTGAGGCCAGAAGATCGTTTCGCATCGCTGATGCATCGGCGATGCGGGTCCACTTGGATCTGGCGATCCATCAGCGATGCGAAACGCGAAAGGCGACAACCCGAAACATACCAAAACACGGGAAGGGTTTTGGGGCTCTCTTGGGATGCCTCAAAGGCCTTGTGGGCCGTCTTTGAAGCCAGTTTGGATAGTCTCGACGTCAAATTGGCCCGTCTTGAAGGTATTTGGGCGTTGGGAGCGCGAATATGTCGCATTTTGCAAGGGGTTGTGGCCTTGGGAGAGGGGGCGATGCGCGCAATTCGATAGTGCGAGAGGGGGGAGGCTCATTAAACATTGCAAAGACCTTGCCAGACAGCAGGAGGCACGGTGGCGGATTTGTTTGCCTTGGACGTCGTCAGAGTGAGGGGGCCGAACGGGGATTCATTTTCCTTCGGTGCGTGAGTTTCCGTCTGGCAGATTCTGGTTGGTGTGTTGTTGTTGCGCTGTCGTCGTGCTCGCCCGCGGCCTGCCCGCGACCCACCTGCGACCCACCCCGCAACCCACTCCGCAACCTACCCCGCGACCCACCCGCGAACCTCCCGCGACCCACCCCGCGCACGCCCTCTCACCTCAATTCGTAATTGCAGGGTGCTACGTTCTTGTGCTTTTCGTGCCCACATCTCGCGCGCCAACCCTCGGCTTGGAGACGACGACACGGGTGGATAGCCTAGAGGGGTTGGTCAAACAAGCAGCCTCAATGGGAGTAGCGCTAACCCAATCTAATCCATCAACCAAAGATAGAGACGATGGCAAACCATCAATGATACGGACTTGCTAATGCTTGTCTGTTGCGACACGGTCGGAGTGAGCGTTTGAACACTGTCTGTTGCTAGCGACTCCGTGCAAGGCAGTCGCAACGGAGGTGGGAACCGAGGAAGGCTTCGGAAGAAGGGCAGGCAAAGGACAGTCAGGACTGTCTTGGCATCGTGCCCCAGCCAATTGGCTGGGGCACGACGGTAAGCCTGCTATTGACATTCCCCGGTCACAGAAGGAGCACGGCGAGCACGGGAGTCCCGCCGAGCACGTGAGCGATTGGAACCGCTAGAATCGTAGTGCCCCCTCCTTGTTCTGGGCAATCCGCCCTTAAAGCAGCCCCACGTGAGCGATTGGACCCGCTAGAATCGTAGTGTCCCCTCCTTTTCTTGGCAATCCGCCCTTAAAGCAGCCCCCGGTCGGCGGCCTTCGTGGACGTCGTCGCGGCGACGACTCGCGTGGCACCCTCTGACGTCGACGACGACGAATACGACGATGACGACGACGACGACGACGACGACGACGACGACGACGACGACATCGGCGTCAGCGACATCGGCGGCGGCGGCGGACGGGCGGCAGTGGCTCGATGGCGGGAGGCACTTGGCGCGTCGCTGTCGTCTTCGTGCTCCTCTTCTCTGTCGTGGTCGCTGTCGGAGCTCGAGTGGCCGAGGTTGTTGTGCGCTGTTGGCGGCTTCTGCTGAGATCGAGGGGCTTCCGCGGGAGCCTCCCGAGGCCTCTGGGGGACCTCTGGCTGCCTCCAGGGGACCTCTGGAGTTCGCTGGGGGTGAAGGGTGTCCCTCCTTGTCCTCGTCCCGCGTCGTCGCTGTCGTGGTCGTCGACCCCCGACGTCGTCTTGTTTTCGTGGCGTGGATCCCCATACAGGTTTTTCTACCGCTTCCCCGGGACTGGCTTTTCATCCTGAGCAGTTTTTCGACGGTCCCCGGGGCCGAGTGAGGGCCCCCCGAAACCGAGAATGGGCAAACGCCATGCGTCGTCATGTTTACATGGCCCGAGATGGTTACGGGTACAGTCAACCATGATAGTAGGGATGGGGCAACTTCCCAAGGCTACCCTCGCATCCTTGCCCCTTCCGTATTCGGCATCCTTTGGCATTCTGCTGCGCTCCGCGCGGAAAACGTCAACATGGCGTTCCAAGGCCCTTGCATTAAGTCGGGCCTGTCCCCCTACAGGGCGATTTTCGACGAAAAATAAAAATACTCCAAAAATGAGGGATTATTCCCAACCATCCTGTGGTGTTGGGTCCTCGTTTTGAAGAGACGGTGGCCCGCGTCTCCTCCTCTCCTCCTCCTCCTCTCCTCCTCCCCCTGGCTGCCGTCCGCATGCGTCCCGCACACCCATTTCGGCACACCCCTCACACGTTTCGTGGCCCCACAGGGAGCTCCACCGAAGGCCCAAGTGCTGCCGTCCGCATGCGTCCCGCACACCCATTTCGGCACACCCCTCACACGTTTCGTGGCCCCACAGGGAGCTCCACCGAAGGCCCCAGTGCTGCCGTCCGCATGCGTCCCGCACACCCATTTCGGCACACCCCTCACACGTTTCGTGGCCCCATAGGGAGCTCCACCGAAGGCCCCATGGCTGCCGTCCGCATGCGTCCCGCACACCCATTTCGGCACACCCCTCACACGTTTCGTGGCCCCACAGGGAGCTCCACCGAAGGCCCCAGTGCTGCCGTCCGCATGCGTCCCGCACACCCATTTCGGCACACCCCTCACACGTTTCGTGGCCCCATAGGGAGCTCCACCGAAGGCCCCATGGCTGCCGTCCGCATGCGTCCCGCACACCCATTTCGGCACACCCCTCACACGTTTCGTGGCCCCACAGGGAGCTCCACCGAAGGCCCCAGTGCTGCCGTCCGCATGCGTCCCGCACACCCATTTCGGCACACCCCTCACACGTTTCGTGGCCCCACTCCACCGAAGGCCTGCTGCCGTCCGCATGCGTCCCGCACGTTTCGTGGCCCCACAGGGAGCTCCACCGAAGGATGCGTCCATTTCGGCACACACCCCTCACACGTTTCGTGGCCCCATAGGGAGCTCCACCGAAGGCCCCATGGCTGCCGACCTCATCGTCCCGCACAGGCCACAGTTTCGTGGCCGGGAGCTCCACCGAAGGCCCCAGTGCTGCCGTCATGCGTCCCGCACACCCATTTCGGCACACCCCTCACACGTTTCGTGGCCCCACAGGGAGCTCCACCGAAGGCCCCATGGCTGCCGTCCGCATGCGTCCCGCACACCCATTTCGGCACACCCCTCACACGTTTCGTGGCCCCACAGGGAGCTCCACCGAAGGCCCCAGTGCTGCCGTCCGCATGCGTCCCCCGCACCCATTTCGGCACACCCCTCACACGTTTCGTGGCCCCACAGGGAGCTCCACCGAAGGCCCCATGGCTGCCGTCCGCATGCGTCCCGCACCCCATTTCGCACAAAAGCCCCTTACCACGTTTTCGTGGACCCACAGGAGCTCCACCGAAGGCCCCATGGCTGCGTCCGCTGCTCCCGCCACTCCATATTCGGCACAACGCCCTTCACACGCTTCCGTTGCCCCATGGGGAGCTCCACCGAAGGCCCCATGGCTGCCGTCCGCATGCGTCCCGCAAACACCGATTTTCGGCATACGCCCTCACACGTTTCGTGGCCCCCACAGCCCACAGGGAGCTCCACCGAAGGCCCATGGCTGGCCGTCCGGCGCGCAGGCGCAACACCCATTTCCGGTCGTCCCCGCCTTCGTCACACGTTTTCGTGGCTTCATATGGAGCTCCACCGAAGCCCAGTGCTGCGCTTCCTGCATGCGTTCCCGCACACCCCATTTCGGCACAACAGGACACCCCTCACACGTTTACCGTGCCCCACAGGTAGTCCCCACCGAAGCCCCAGTGCTGCCGTCCGCATGCGTCCCGCACGCCCATTTCGGCACACCCCTCACACGTTTCGAGGCCCCATAGGGAGCTCCACCGAAGGCCCCATGGCTGCCGTCCGCATGCGTCCCGCACACCCATTTCGGCACACCCCTCACACGTTTCGTTGCCCCACAGGGAGCTCCACCGAAGGCCCCAGTGCTGCCGTCCGCATGCCGACAAAGCGTCCCGCACAACCCCATTTGGCAACACCCCCACACGTTTCGTGGCCCCCCATAGGGACTCCACCGTAGGCCACAATGCTGGCCGTCCGCATCGCGTCCCGCACACCCATTTTTCGGCACAACCCCTCACAACGTTCGTGGCCCCACAGGGAAAGGCTCTCCACAGAGGCCCGCAGTGCTGCCGTCCGCATGCGTCCCGCAACAATACCCATATTCGGCACAAGATCCCCTCACACGTTTTCGTGGCCCCACAGGAAGCATCCACCGAAGGCCCCAGTGCTGCCGTCCGCATGCGTCCCGCACACCCATTTCGGCACACCCCTCACACGTTTCGTGGCCCCATAGGGAGCTCCACCGAAAGCCCCATTGCTGCCGTCCGCATGCGTCCCGCACACCCATTTCGGCACACCCCTCACACGTTTCGTGGCCCCATAGGGAGCTCCACCGAAGGCCCCATGGCTGCCGACCGCATGCGTCCCGCACACCCATTTCGGCACACCCCTCACACGTTTCGTGGCCCCACAGGGAGCTCCACCGAAGGCCCCAGTGCTGCCGTCCGCATGCGTCCCGCACACCAGGTGTGTGGCGTGCCGACCTGGGCGTCGCGGCGCGCGGGCGCTGCCGTCGGGGTTCCCAGGGAAGCCCCCTGCAGAGGCGACGCTCAGAGTCACGAGTACCGAGAGTCACGCAGACCCAAACTGTTCACAGTCGTAGACATACATTTACACTGGGCGTATCCATGCACGCATTCATGCGAATAGAATCAATCGCGCGCAGATTCATTCATAATCAGACTCGCTCGCGATCCGACTCGCACGCGCTCAAGCTTTCATATTCGGACCTATCGACTTCGTTCGTGTTGTGTACACTGCCACGCATTTCGGCACACCCCTCATACGGCTCGTGGCCCCATAGGGAGCGCCACCGAAGAAGATATTCACAATTGCGGTACTCTCAACTGCATATGGTTGGGTCCTTCGCCAGGCAATTTTTTTGAGTTTTTTCCCAACCATCCTGTGTGTTGGGTCCTCGTTTGAAAGAGACCGTGCCCCGCGATCCTCCTCGTCCTCTCCTCTCCTCTCCTCCTCACCTCCAGTCCTCCTCCCTCCTGCCCTCCACCTCCTCCTCCTCCCCCTCCTTCCTCCTCCCTCCTCCCACCATCATCATCGTCATCACCCATTTCGGCACACCCCTCACACGTTTCGTGGCCCCATAGGGGGCTCCACCGAAGGTCCCAGTGGGTGTGCCCGCATGCGTCCCGCACACCCATTTCGGCACACCCCTCACACGTTTCGTGGCCCCATAGGGGGCTCCGTGCGTCGCCCGCGGGCGCGGCTACCGCACAGGCCCCGGGGGGAGGGGTCACGCGATCGGCGGGCCAGCGGGACGCACGCACACATTTCGGCACACCTCTCACACGCTTCGTGGCCCCATAGGGAGCTCCACCGAATGTCCCAGTGGGTGTGCCCGCATGCGTCCCGCACACACATTCCGGCACACCCCTCACACGTTTCGTGGCCTCTATAGGGAGCTGCGCCGAAGGTCCCAGTGGGTGTGCCCGCATGCGTCCCGCACACCCATTTCGGCGCACCCCTCACACGTTTCGTGGCCCCATAAGGAGCTCCACCGAAGGACCCAGTGGGTGTGCCCGCATGCGTCCCGCACACCCATGGTTCGGACAGAAGGAACCCTCTCACACGTTTCGCGTTTCATGGCCCCATAGGGAGCTCCACCGAAGGTCCGAGTGGGTGTGCCCGCATGCGTCCCGCACACCCATTTCGGCACATCCCTCACACGCTTCGGGGCCCCATAGGGAGCTCCACCGAAGGCCCCAGTGGGTGTGCACGCATGCGTCCCGCACACATGTCGGCACACCCCTCACACGTTTCGTGGCCCCTATGGGGAGCTGCACCGAAGGTCCCCGTGGCGCAGTCCGCATGCGTTTCCCCCACCTAGTACACCTCCGTCGGAGGCCGTCGGAGTTCCGCGTCTCGCTCGCCCGTCGTCGCTCTGCCCGGCGGCAGGAGCCTTGCCCGCTATCAGCCAGCCAGCTAGCTTTCTTTGCTGCGCGCAGCGGACTACTCGCGCGCGTCGCTGGGACCCCTCCGGGCCGACCTGCGCGCGTCGCTGGGACTCCGCGCTGCGTTGCGCCCGCAGCCTTGGACTTTTGAGTGCGCGGGCAAAGAGGGAGTAAAAGAAGGGGCGGAAGCGGGCGCGATCCTCGCGGTGGCGTCGCGGCGCGCGGGCGATGCCGTCGGGGAGTCCCGGGGAAGCTCCTTGCGTCGGCCACGCTCAGCGTCACGAGTATTCAGAGGCAGTCGTTCTCAAACTATTGTCATTCATACTCAAGCGCACCATGCTTTGCCATACTCGCATTCATGCACGTAGATTCGCTCGCACGCAGATTCATTCACAGTCAGAGGCCGTCGCGCTCAGAGTCACCCGCGCTCAATCTACCTACGTACTCAGATCAATCGTTTTCGTTCGTTCTGTGTACCACGCCACTCATTTCGGAACACCCCTAGCACGGTTCGTTGCCTCATAGGGATTGCCACCGAAAAAGGGAACCACAATTGCGGTGCTCACACCTGCATATGGTTGGGTCCTTCGTCAGACGAATTTTATATAACAAATACGTTTCGTCGAACATCCCCCATCTTTATTGCGCATTCTTACTATCCTGGTCGAGTGTACACGGCCCGAGATGGTTTCGGGCAGCGGCCCGCCGAGCCACGGGTGATTTCCCACAGAGCGAGGGCTCCTCGCTCCGCGCCTGCAAGCAACACACAAGCACAGAGGGCGCCCCGGGAGGCGCGCTGCCGACGCCGGGGCGCGGGCCACGAGCGGACGCCGGGCACGCGCGGAGCCGCGCCTTCGTCGGCATCGCGTCCTCGGCGTCGCGTCCTCGTCGTTGCGTCGTCGTCGGCGTCGTCGTCGGCACTGCATCGCAGGAGGGCCAGTGCAGACGACGGCGACCCTCCCTGGCGTTGTTCGTTGTGCGCCCTCTTCGGGCCTACTGAAGGCCTGTCGTGGCCACGGCTGGATCCGCGTGGACAAGGGGGTCAGGATGGACCCCGGGTAGGGCCGGGCCGGACTTCGAGCGGACTTGAGCCGGGCGGGAGAGCCGCTGTTGCCTTAAAAGGCCATCTGCCGATCCTGTGCGTCCGAGTGTACCCCGTGTCAGGGGCAGTTTCTGGTGCAGGTAACCGGGTATTGTTTCGGAGATGCTTCTTGCCTCTTGCCAAGGAGATGCCATGAAGCTCAGCAGCGCTATGCTTGAGCCGACGACAGTTCAGAGTTCTCTGCGTCCGCTCTGGCTTCTATGTCTGGGTAGCCAATTGGATGGACTGGAGGCCAGACATCTTGGCGCTTAGGCCAGTCCCGAGGTGGTGCTCGCTCTTCTTCGATTCCCGGCCCAGAGAGGTACTCCTCTCGGGTCGGACGGAAGGTGGGATTGAGAAAGGTGAGACTTCGGAAGCCGTTGCACAGGTTCCACCGCCACTTGCTTTACTAGATACATGGGCGCCTCCAGCGCCATAAGGCGCCTGCAAAACCAGTTGTGATCCTACACGTGCGGCCGACCCGATCCTCCCTTCTCCCCAGGCCTTTCAGGTGACATTCCTCCCGTTGGTCCGCTCTGTGCACTCCGCCGCGAGGCCCCTGACTCCCTACCTCATCGTCTTTCTTGTTGGAAGGCCCCAGAGGCAGTCGAGCTGACTGCGCAGCGGCTGCTGGCGTCTACAGCAGCCGCTGCGCTTTCTCTTCACAGGGCTTTTGCCCATCCCGCCGATTCCTTGCCAAAGTCCGTCCTCGACGGAACGAACGCGATGCAGTATGTGTGGCATGGGAATTGCCTCGACAGCCCCGAAGGCCCCAGGACCCAAGAGACACAATTTCTTCGGTGATATATTCGGGCCACGCCAGTGTGGTCCCTCAGAGCAATCTGCCTTTGCCAGAGACAGATGTCTGAGCAATAGAGCCTACTCTGGTATGTTGCTTCAGGCAACCTTGTCACAGAAGTGATCCAGGTCAAAGCTCAAACATTTCAGAGTACGATGGTTTTCTCAGGAGAGGGGTCAAGCATGGCCTCCAGTAGCACCTGATTGTTCAGAGTAGCCTGTGTGTAGTAGCTGAGCTAACTGCCAGCGCGCGTGCTTTCTGTATGATTGCGGCAAACAGTTTTCCGTTTTGGCCCAAGCTCTTTTTTGTCATTTCTTTGTTTGGTTCCTCTCTCTCTCTCTTTCTCTGTCTCTGGTAGTTCCCTACAGTTCCCTACGTTCCCCCTGTTCCTGTTCCCAGGGCTGGGGGCAGGGAGCATGTGCAGTACAGATGGGAGAGACGGGCTGGTATCTCGAGGTGTGCCATTTGTCTTCGTGGAAGGCGTTCGGTGTCACAGCCACCTCCAGGTAAGTACCCGAATGAATCTAAGCTTCATTCGGCTCACCAGGAGTCACTCGAGCACAACACTGTAGCTTTCGATTGCAGCGACGGCTCTGTCCTGTTTATCTGTTTGCGTTGTACATGCCGCTCGGCAACAGGGCGTGTCCGTCGTCTCGCGGAGCGCTGTCTGACCCCTCCAATTCGTGCGGCACAATCTGGCTGGCTTGGTCTGTGCCGAGGGAACCACCCCCACTAGTCTCGTCGGAAAGTTGTTGTGACAGTGGGCGCAGACAGCCACACTCTTTGTTCCAACTGTTTCAACACATGCTATCGCATATGTGCAGGACGTCCCTCTCTGAAGGAGACACCCCTCCCCCAGTGGCCCAGGCAGAGACCCTCATGCTGCGCAGGGACGAGAAGGGTGAGATCCGCATTGTTTCTGATTCGGAGGGCCCATATTAACTCCTCACCGGGGCATTGCCTGAGTCGTTGTGGCAGGTCCCTCGCTGCTGGTGCCAGAGCTGTTGAGGTGAAGCCGTCGATGGTAACAACATGTGTTCCTCTTCCCCTCCTCTTTCTCCTGGACTTTCTCTTCCAACGTTATCCAGCTTGCTGGTATTTATCATCCTCCGCTTTCCCCTCCATCCATCATCAGACTTTCATTGTTATTATTCATCATTATTCTTCCCTGCTGCGCGATGGGTAGTCTTTCCCCCCCTTCGGGGTGTCTTGCCATCTGACGTCCTCTGCCTCCCACCCCCTCCTCCCCCTTATCCCCCTCCCTCCGCTTCCGCCTCGCTCCACCTGCTTCCTCCTCCGCTCCTCCCTCCTTCCATCTCCCCCCCTCTCATTCCCTTCCCCTAACTTCTTGTCCCCGCCCTCGCCTTCATCATCTTTACCGGGTTCCTCTTCCTCTTCGTCTTCCTTGCAGGAGCCACAGCGGCCCGTGGTTTGCAGCGCCCGACCCCTGGGGCCAGCTGGGCGCTGGCGTCAGTTCGCCGCCTGCGTGCAGGAGTTGGGCATCAGGAGGAAGAGGAGGAGAGGAGGAGAGGAGGATGACCGAGGAGGAAATCGGAGAGATCAAGAGGGGGGAGGAGTTGGGCAAGAGGAGGACGAGGAGGAGGGGCGGGGTGGAGGAAGGGGCAGCAGGAGGGAGGATGGACAGATCGCAGACGAGGAGGGCGGGGTGGAGGAGGAGGAGCAGGAATAGGCCGAGGTGGTGGTGGAGGAAGGGGGGGGGCAAGGACGATGAGGAAAGGGGAAACGAGAGGATGGGAGATGGAGGGAAGTGGGAGGATCAGCGCAACGAGGGGGAGCATGAACAGAACGTGGAGGAGGAGGAGGAGGAGGAGGAGGAGGAGCAGGAGGAGGAGGAGGAGGAGGAGGATGAGGAGGAGGAGGAGGAGAGGAGGAACAGGGAAGCGGAGGAAGAAGGAGGTTGGATGGAGGTCGGAAGCGCAAGAAGGAGGAGGGATGCGGAGGAGGAAGGAGGGGGACATTGAGGATGACAAGGAGGCGCGAGGGGAACGGCGGACTGCAGGAGGATCGGGAGGAACAGGAGGACATCGACGACCACGGACATAAGCGACAACGATGATAACTTCGACAACAACAACGCCGAGGACCATAGACGGTGAGGGGCCATGGGCGATGATAACGAACAGTGACGACGGCGGCTGCGGCACAGGCGCAGGAGGGAGGAGGAGGAGGAGGAGGAGGAGGAGAGGAGGAGAGAGGAGGATGCAGAGGAGGATGCGGAGGAGGAGGAGGAGGAGGGGGAAAGGGGTGAGGGGGAGGGGAGGGGGAGGCGGGAGGAGGTAGAGGAGGGAGGTAGTGAGGAGGAGGAGGAGGGAGGAGATGAGTGTGGATTATGAAGGTTCGGCGGAGTACGGCGTTAGTAGGGCATTATTAGGTAGGAGATGAGGCGGTGAGTAGTTCTTATTAGAGGTAGGAGTAGGAGGCCGTGTCCGTAAGTATTTGAGGGGGATTCGGGTGAGCGGTCTTGCATCGTTGTGCTTCCTTGCTTATTTTCTCTTCCACTTCTTCTTCTCTGCCACTTCTGCTTCTTCGCTCATACTTCTTATGTTTTGTTGGTTTTGTCTTTTGTCGTTTTCGTCTCTGCTTCTCTTCTTCTTCTTTACTTCGTCTGCTTCTTCTCCTCTTCTTTCTCTTCTATTTTCCCTCTTCTCTACTTCTTCTTTTTGATTATTCTTCTTCGTTTTCTTCCTTCCCCTTCACCGACGTACCACCCCCCCCCCACATTGCCAGTCACCAGCCACGCCTTACTCCGCTGACAGATGACCCTGTCACAGGAACGTGCGACCCATAACGATCCCTTTCCGCCCGCGCGCCGGCGGGCCCGTGCGCCGCCGGCCGGCCGGCCCGTCCCCGCCGGCGCCCACCTCTCTCTGGCCGCCAACTTCACTCGGGGGGGGTATTAAAGGTCGGCCCGATGCGCCTCCTCCTCCTCCTCCTCCTGCTCCTCTTCCTCTCCCTCTGCGTGGTGCGAGCGTACTCCCACAGAGGCCTTGCGCTGCATCCGCGGCTTCGTCTAAAGGCCGTTGGACCTCCATATGTGCATGCGCGGTGCGTGGAACCTACGTGCTTCGATGAAGGAGCACATCCATGTAGTTTGCTAGCGTTAGTTCTGAGAGCGAGGGCGTTAGAGGAGAGTCCGAGGGAGCGCCGCTCCGTCAGGCTTGCGTAGTTTCTCGGCCTGAAGGTGTCGGCTTCCGAGCCCTCCGCCGAGGCGGTGCCCCACGCTGGGCGCGCCGCCGCTTGGCAGGCTCCGCAGAATTCCGCCGAAGGCCCGCGGGCGCGGGCCGCGCCCTTGAGGCTGGCCGGGCGCGGGCCGCCGCCGTCAGTGGCCGCGGACGCGGAGCTGGCGCTGGCCGCGCCCGCGCAGGCGGAGTTGCGGCAGCTGGGGTGCTTGCGGGGGTGCCCGTGCTGGGGGCCGCGGCCGGTGGCACAGGACCAGGCGCGTTGCTCGGAGGTGCACCGCCCCCCTCCGCGGGCCCGTCCGCTGCAGCCGTTGGGCGGGCGCGCGGCCTGCACCAGGCCGCCGTGGCTGCCGCGCAGGCAGGAGGAGGCGACGCGAGGCAGGCGGCGGGAGGCAATGCGCAGCACGCTCGCGGACCAGGCGCGCGCTTCACCGATGCGCGCATCCAGGTCGTGGTGGCGATCCTGGCGGGCGGCGTTGGCGGGGGTGCCGTGGCCCACGTCCCCTCGGGAAAGGTGCAGTCGCGGGCGGTGGCGCTGGCGCGGCTATGGGCATCCGGGCGGCGTTTGGCGCTAGGCGCTCCTGCCAACGGGGTCGCGCGGCGTCGTATAGGGGATTGCCATGCTGAAGCTGGGGTTGCACTTGGCACCGGACGTGGTCTGCGGGTTCGATGAGCTCGCCGATTTCGTTGGCGCTTTGACCCCTCTGGCCATATCTGGGTTTGGCGCAACATGCGATTAGGAGGTGCCACTCCTGCTGGCAGAGTCGCCAGGGCGGCGTCTGGCGGCGAGGCGGCCAACCTGGCAGCCATGGTGGAAGTGCTCAAGCGTGCACTCAAGCGCAAGGGCTCAGGCAGGCGTGACCGAGGCGTGCCGACCGCCCTGGCGATGATGATCAAGACGGCGACTCGTTTGGTCGCGACGCCCCCTGCTGGTCTGGCCACATTAGAATCCAGGAGATGGCGCGGGAACAACCTGCCACGAATTTGGCGGCCCGCCCGTCCGAGAGGCCGCGGCTCCCTGGAGAGCGAGAGGGGCGGACGTGGAGTCAGCTGCGCGCTCGGCGCGCGTGGTGGCACACCTCGCTGGCGCCTTCTTCGGGCAGCTCTCGCAGTCGACGACCACCCCCCACGCTGCGCGCGTTCTGAGGACCATGGCGGGGGCCATCGTCGCCCACCCAGAGCTGGGCGACCCCATCGCGCAGAGGCCCAGGGCGCTCGAGGCCAGTGCGCCAGTGCGCGGAGCAAGGGCGAGCCAGCTGGAGCTCGGGGAGGCTGGCCAGCGCCCGCCGGCGTCGCGGAAGGGCAGGCCGCGACGCGGCACGCCACTACGAGTTGCAGGACCTGGACTCGGGCGGCGGGGCGAGCGGCTCCGGGCTAGGGGCTCCGCGCGGGCGAGGAGCGAGGGGCCGCTCTTGTCCCGAGGCGATTCTCGCGCGGCCGCGGCGGGCCCCTCTCGCCGTGCTCGGTCATCGCGGCGCACGCGAAGCCCTATCCGCGGCGCCCGCCCAGGGCCGCCCGCTCGCGCGGCCCGCGCGGCGGTCGCCTCCCAGGTCGAGGCGGCGGAATCGGGTCGCGCGGAGTCCCTCTGCGAGGCATAGACGAATTTTGGCAGAGGCGCAGCGGGCGCCCCGCCGCGGATCCAGCGGCCGCGTTCACCCCCGCTGCAGGGCCGCGGCGGGGGGCGCGGCGGGCGACGCCTCTGGGTGGATAAGGCGAGCTGGCGAGGCCCGCGCGCGGCGCGCCCGCGGGGGGCCGCGCGCGCTGGACCGGCCCAACTTCCTGGGCCGATGGGGAGACAATCGGACTGGCCCCCCCCCCCCCCCCCCCCCCCCCCTTGCGAGCACTGGGCGCATTTGAGCTCCGAGCGCTGAGCGCCGCGAGAAAGGCTGAGCTGGCGGTCTGCAAGCAGCGGGCGCACCTCGAGATTATATGCCTAATCCCTGTGCCCGAGACGAGCTGTCTACCAGGGCCGGCGCCGGGCTTTAGGGCCAGCTGGCCCCGCTCAGCTCAAGTCTGCCCGGTGTTGGCGCGCGCGGCCCTCCTCTTCTCGGCCGGCAACCGCGGCCCGCTCTCGCCGACCGACGGGGCAGCGGAGCTCGCGAAGAAGAGGGCCGCGCGCGACGGTGAGGAAATCGGCGCCGCTGAGACCCGTTCTTTCAAGCGAGTGGTGCCTGCGCGTTCGCCCGAGAGGATCGCCGCTCCAGTCGACGCCGGGGGGGCAATGCGAAGGCGGCGTCAGGCGGGCGCTGCTCGCCCCTGATTCGCCCCGTGTCTGGGGGCGCCCAGCCCGATCAGGTTCCACGCGCGGCGCTCTGGACCGCCCGCGACGGCTAGCCAGACTTGGTGTTGCTCTTATGGGGCCGCAGACTCGCGGGGCTCATCGGGCGCGGGGACATTCGCCGTCTTGGCGGCCGGCCCGCGCGACGCGGCGCCCCCTGGCGCGCCCGACTGGGCCGCGCGCGCCGCGGACCTCAATGGGCCGAGGGGCGAAATGTGGATCCGCCGCCCGCGCAGCGGCCAGCGCCATTGTCGCCGCGGGGCGGGTTTTGGTCACTGGGGGCCCGCAGCACATCCGCAGAAACATGCCGTGGACATGGTGGCGGTTCTCAGCGGGGTGACCAGAGAGGCCGAGCGGGGGCGGGATCGCCCACCCCCGCTGTCGTCGCCGATTTAGATGCATCGACGCTGCATCGGCAATCTGGGGGCGCGGGAGATCGTGAACCGCGAGGGCGCCCAGGTCCTCGCGGGAAGTGCGAGCCGCCTGCTTCTGGCGGCCCGCGAGGCGCGCGTGCTTTGAGGGGCGCCGGTGGGCGACTGCACGCTCGTTGCATAATTCCGCGCGGCGAGGTTTGCGCGGCGCGCTGACGTCGCGCGAAATCTGCAGCCGCCGCTTTCAACCAGGGATTCGTAGCTGTTGGCGCTCGGATGGGGCGGTGACGCGAGGGGCGAGGAGGGGGGCCGGCAGCGGCAGCAGCGGCAGCCGCGGGGGGAGGAGGCGGACATGCGACGATGGATGGGGGGCAGGAGCAGCGAGGGCGCGGAGCGTGCGATCGCGCATCGCCACTGACGTAAACGCTCAATGCACGGCGCGCCCGCGTCGGAACTATGACTTCAATTGATAGGCACACCCCCCGACCACCACTACTGGTTTTCGCGAAACACGAAACACAGGTCGCCCCAAAGCATTGAAATCAAGTTAAATTCTGTTTTCCACAAAACAAACTACGAACTTGCCTTTTAGCGCATCGCCAAATGAGCTTGTATCGCGATTCACTTTTTTATTGAGAAAGGC